AAAGCAACAACATAGAGCAAAAAAGTCTATTGGAGTTGATAACTGTTTGCTTTACTGATAGGAGAAGACCACAGGAGCTGACCTGGACTCCGGTAGTGCAGTCACTGAAAAAAAACCCCTACTTTCTGGGTATTTCTATTTGACTTGTGCAGGGCAGGGATATACTTGAGGATAAGGGGTTAAGCCTATTTCTGCAACTTTCAGATTTGGATGGAGAACCACCCAACTTTAGAACCTTGTAGTGCAGACTGATGACACAATGTGTACACACAACAAAGAGTTATACTTCCCTATTAGATGGGGCAGAGATAGCTTTCTTGAAATGCTTTGTTGTACCATTCAGGAGGTAAGCACTTAACTTTGTAGAAAAAAAATTATCTTCTAGCCCAGATGGACAATGTCATAAAGCCATGCAACAGCCAGACGAACACAGAAAGCCAACATAAAAATACTTTCAACACCTGAGTAACTGCAAGACCCTATCTTAATAGAAAGATAAAAATAGAATATAGAATATAGTTCCCAGAATGTTGCTGTTCACCTGAAGTGAAGTAAATAAGGCTATAGCATTTGTGTACCTCACATATCCTCCAAATTAAAAGAAAGATATGAAAATGGGAAGGTAAACATAAGGTGAAGGAGAGTTCAAAGTGTGATAAAAACACATCCTTTCTGGATTATTATTAATTTGTACAATCATGTATGTACAAACAACATCTAAGCATTTTAAAATTAAGAATGCTATTTCCAGAAATATGTAAAGGAAGAAAAAGCAATGACCATGAGAACTGGTAGAACCCCAAATTGTTTCAAATACTCTTTAGCTAATGTTTTGCTATTTAATTAAAAAAAATCTGATTCCACACACATAAGAGATGCATACCATCACTACTGGTATTTCTCTTGATTCTTCTTTAATTTCTGAGAATTGTGGGGGTGACTCCAAGTTACCCACAGCATATTCTGTAGGCTGATCTGGAAGTTCTTTCACTTCTGCATTAGCATTTTCTTTACTATCAGACAGTGAGTCAAGAATATTATCAGCACTGTAATCCTCTCCGCAATCTACCGCATTGCCATTATCTATTTCAGCTTCATCTAACACACTAATATCCATCATGTCAATATCCTGCAAGTTATCCAAACTTGCTTCAATATCCTCCTGTAAAAAGAAAAAAAGTATATGTAATAGTCATTGTAACTTCAAAGCAATGCTACCATTACTTCGCTTCAAACAGAGTCTCACATACCTGTCCATCTCCTGAATCCTCTTCCAGGCCATTATCTTCTACTCCCTCTTCATCTAGTCTACGTCCTAACAACATTAGGATTGTTAGAATGAAAAGAAGGTAACAACATGTATACTTCAAGTTTTACTTTTTCATCAGAGTTGGTATTCCATTCAGTTTAGTTATCTGCTTTTTCCTTATTTTCCGCAACTGCATATTTATATACCATCCCAGTTCAGTAACTGACAAACATGCCACAGTCCAAGGCCCGTCACGAGTTCAAGAAGCACCGCTGTATACTCCCCAGAACATTTGGCTCAGCTGAGATTGCAGTAATTTATTATCTCAACCTTTAATTTCTTTACAGATATTTACTACAAGGAACAAAGAAAGAAAGCAACCGAAGGAAAAACCCAACATAAACCAACGAAAAAACTCACTCTACGTGTAAGCACTACTGCAGTGCCGCATTCAGCAGCTGGCCACATATTGGAACTGACGTTACCGAAAACAGTATGCTAGTTTCAGCACCCAAGAGTAACTCCTCAAATTTAGAGCTAAGCAGTTGCTTCATCTTTTATTAATGTTGTTTTCCTCAAAAACTAAAAGCACTTTACAATTAAAAAGGGAAAGGGATTTTAGAACATCTCATCTATTCACATTCCAACACTAAAAGTGCTATAACATACAGTAGGTATTTTTCTGAGACTTGAATATGAACGTGATTACCAAAGATCTCTCTGCTTTTACCCATAGTTGTGCCATTTGTTCTGTTTCTCATTAAGATTTCACATTTCTGTTTGCAAGCAAATATAACATCACTCCAAATTGGATGCAACGACAAAAATCTGAGTCAAACAAATTAGCTGGCAAAACACTCAAACTTCATCTCACAAATTTACATTTTTGTGTAAGTCAAAATTAATAATTTAATTAAAATCTTTCATCTAAACTAGTTATTCTGCTCAGCTCCAATACAAAAGTAAGTTTCAACATTATTTGATTACAAAGTAAGATCAAATGGTGCTAATTAACTAGTTTTGAAAAAATAGCAGATTTTTTTTTTAATAAGGATTATGTAAAAACTACATCTCACCATCAGAAAAATCATGCATAGAGAAAACGTTAAAAATATACCAAATTTCAGATATTGATTAAAAATTAGTCTTCTGGGGAGGAAAAGTAAGACTGCTATTAGCTTTGGGACTGCAAAACATTCAGCAACAGTGCCTAAATGAAACCAAGCACTTTTCCAAAAGGAAAAGCAGACTTCAGGAAAAAAAGACTAGCAGGGTTCTATTTCATTAGTAAAAGCTGCTAGAAAACCCAAGGGGCATGGGGTGGAGATCCTCTCTAACTGCCCTGTACCTTTGCTGCTTCTTTTGGGAGTTTTCTTCATGATATTTTCTGAAATTACTGGAATTTCATCAGGATTCCCCCCTTCCTCCTCAATAGCCTGTTAAGGAGAAAAATAGATGTATCAAGACAAACATAACAATGCCATTTGTGCATTTCTGTTGAATTTAACAGCTGGACACCAGAGGCAGAAAAATACTGAAATAAGAATCTAGTGCTTTGAACTATACAGCAGCAACTTGGATATGCAAATAAAAGACCAGTGTGTCAAAGCAACAAGCACACAGGAAACAGTAACACGTTGGTGTAAAGTTTCTGGAAAGCAGTCAACAGCATAACCTATAGACAAAAAAAGTCAATCCTACAGCATCTGCAACAGTGCACAGATACCCGGGGTGTTGCGACTGAGTAAAAATCCTGGCTCTAGAAGACAGCAAGCATCAGTTCAATGAAAGTGGTCCGCATGCTACTAACATACCAAACATTCTGATGAGAATACAGTGTACAGACTACCAGTTAGAAAACCAGAAAAAAATCAGTATGCAGCAGAAAGCCTAGTAAATAGTGTATAGAACTGTAAATCCAGGAGCTCAATGCATGGTGGAAAGCCCAGCGATGCATGAGACTAGAAACACTTGGGCCGAGTGCCACAGCAGACACGCTGTGCTGTGCAGGTTTAGGAAATCGGAGAGGGGCTCGCTGCGTAGACGGAAACGCCAGAGTTGCTCACATACACGCCCCCACCGCTACATGAGACCGGCCGTTTCAGGCACGAGCCTAGGACGGCCAAGTAAGGGGCCAGGCTCATCCCGCACGGAACGTTCGCACTGGGCCTGGCGGGCCCTGCAGAACCACGCTCAGAGCCCGGCGCACGCCCCCTGCTCACCACAGCCCCATTCCCTCCGCTCTATCGCCGTTTGGCGCCATTTTCCTTAGCAGTACCTGGTGGGCCAGGGCCGCGCACGCGCCGACTATGCCTCCCCCTCAGGCAGCCCCGGCGCGTCTCCCTGCTCACCTTCTTGAGTCGCTCCATGAGGACGCTCTTGTTTCCACTGCTGTCCAAATTGCGGCGCTTGAGTTCAGCCCGTAAGTCTATCACGCGCAGCTCGCTCAGCCGCCGCCGGTTTTCAGACTCCGAAGTGGAGACTCCAGACCCACCCAGGGACGCAGATTCTCCCTGACCAGCCGCTGACTGACTCTCCGCCATAAGGCCGTTGTGTCTACTCGCACGCACGGAGCAAGGCAGGATAAAAACAAGAGCGAAACCCCGCGGCTGCGGCACAAAATGGTGGCAAAAACTAGACGCACTGAAGAGAAAGGGGGTGGGAAGGAACGAAACCGCAGCCCGCACGCGCGTTGACCAGAAGGCCCAGACGGCTTGCGCGCATGCGTAGAGGGGAACGTCCCCGCGCAGGCAGTTGCGAATGCGCATGCGCACTAGTTCCTCTGACTGCCTTCCGCGGGAATGCGCAACCGCAGTCTGTTTCAGT